TAGCTGGCAATGACCTATAAATGGTCAAACCGCGAAATTATTACATAATGTGTAAAAACATTTGGAAAAGATCGCGCATTTTCGTCATCCACTTCTGCCTGTCTTTATGCAAACACGCTCAAAACCGTTAAGGCTCCTGCGTTTTGAGCAAACGCTTTTTAGCTACTACACTTACATTGTGATTAAATCGCGCCTAGAAATGGTGCGCCGAAAAAAATCAGAAAAGGTTTTTGTTCACATGTTAGCAGATTAGCGAATCCATTCAAACTAGTATGCATCTGTTAACTCTTTATTCGAAATAAACGAGACCGATAAATCAATTATATTTTCTTAACATGTCCAACGTAGTCACAACAAAGAATCAGTTGATAAATTTGACAATTTAACTGAGTACTGCGAGTGCATGAAGAACACGACCAGTAATATTTTTGAGTTCATTGTTCTCTACTATTAATGCTAAGAGAAATTATTAAAAACTCTGGGGAATTTAAGTCGTGCATATTTATCAATGCCTAATATAATAAAACACTAGCATTTGATGCTGGAAATTGTCATTATAACATCAATAAAGTGACAGCAAATTTTGTTCTGTTGCATGAATGTGTGTAGCGACACCAGAACAACCGCATCGCCAATATTTTGCAGTCATGTATGTTGATCCCATTTAGTGAATTAGATGAAGACAGCATTTTGCACGCATTTGCCATGCTGCTTAATCTTGAGGTGACAAAATGTTATGAAATACGCGCAGTGAGTAACACGGATGTTTGTTTTGGAAGACCGCACATTATGGTCCTAGCCAAGTATATAATGGCAGCAAAGACAGCTATAATCTTCAGAGTAGTCCATAGGGGTAGCTTTATTCTGTCAAATAATATATTCTGGAATGCGATGTAGAATGCAAATGGCATTGACCACTTTCGTAATCGTCTAGTTAATTTATAAACAATCGTTTTTTTAATCTTAAATTTATTTTTGACAACTGTTTGTACAAGAAATGGAGGCGTACTTGTATTGGATGAAATCAAAAGTCACAAGCTGATGCAAATTTGTGCAACTAAGCCTTAACTATTCTATTCAAGTAAATGAATTGGAAGACGTCATGTAATGTACAGACATAAAGACACCGTGCATATCATGACTGCGAATTCCGACAGCTATGTAGCACTTGCCTTTTTTTGCAACCAGTTCAGTTCCGTTAGAATTGTTGGGTTTTAGAGCAATTCTAATATCCATTAATGGTGTGTGTGAAAAATGTCACTTTTTGATTAACATTCTTTGATGCCATCCCCATCAGGACTATTGGAAATTTTGGTCAATAATGTTAATGGTGATTTCAATTTTTTGCCTACTCATTTGTTCCTGTTTCTAAAGCCTTGATTACACCTACAAGAAACAAGAACAAAGCAGGAATATTATTCAGTTATGGTTTAAACTTCAGTCAAGTTGTCGTGCTTATGCCTGCTTATGTTGAATGCATTCTTAGACAACTGAAATGCGTACCGAACTTTACAATAACTCTTGTTGCTTTTGATTGCTGACTAAATTACCACTTTGAGGTCATTCCTCCACTAAAAACGCATTTGCTAAGAATGAATATTCTCTAATGAAGCCATCAAGGTGTATATAATTGTATGTCTTAGCTTCTTTCCAGAAACAAACTGCTCATGCACATGGTATCACGTTTACTTACCTTACTTTTACAAGGTTTCACGGAATAATTACTTGTTAACACTTGTCTCTGTGAAATAGGTCTTTCATTTACTGGCAAGTTATGAATTTTCGACGTCATAAACCTTGCGTTCTAGGCGTCGCGTCACAAGTAATGATATTGGACTGCTTCTCAATTCGTAAACAACACCATCAAAAGCGTTAATAATACACAGCATTTCGATGCACTTATAGTGAAATCTAGCAATGGGAAGGAATCCAATATGAGTCAAGGTTTTTCTGCTGCCGCCGCCAATGGACTTTTAAAATGACCATTTTTATTGTATTGTTCTAGCCTGTTGATATGCACGATCAAACACTCTTTAGAATCAATGGTTGATTTCTCAGGTTTTCTAGAAATCATTATGTATTCTTGGACAGTTAAACAGCCCCTAGTGTAAATGTTCTTTTTTCTAAATAATGCTTTCATGATACCATGGTTAGAAAATGCGGATGCTGAGGGCTTCGGCATGTTGTTTTGAACCATGCCGGGGCCACTGCGACAATCCAGGCCGAATACATTACCCTGTGTTCCCACGAACATCAGCACCAGACTGGTGTAGACACAACAGTTTACTTGAGAGCTTAACCAAGATGTGTTTTGATGACTGATACAGGTGAGTGGACTACTAGAAATGCAGGCGTCTGAGTGGTCACATGGATAAGGGTGGTGGTGGTGGTGGTTTTGGTGGTGCTGGTGGTGCTGGTGGTGGCAAACACAGAGGTGTTAATGAGCAGGCGGTCGCAGTGACTGACGGGCGCGCCGTGAAAAGGGAGACGTGTGTGTGTGAGGCTGTGACGACCGAAGTGTTTAACATGAATCAACACGATTCACTACACGGACATATTTGTCCAACGTGATGACATCTTGAATGCTTAATTGTATTTGCTAGTCAATTTCAATTGTTCATTTTCTACTTAATTCGCGTTATAATTACGAAGACACCAAATGTCACTATTTTGAATTAAAGGCCACCAAATCAAAGGAATTTGAGAAACGTAGTCACCGTCCGCTGCTTTAAGCTTCGCCAAGAATGGGTTCGTTAGCTGACAACGTTTAATTGAAGTTGCTACTTTTGCCTAATTAGTACATTTGCGATTTTCTGACCACACTTCTGTAAATGTCTTGTTGTCTGTTTAGGTACTAACAGCGAAATGTTCCTCCTACCCTAGGTCGTAGGAATTGGCTTTTTTGTTTTAAGGAAAGCACCTTATATGCGTCAAAATTGACACGTGCTTTTAAGTAAATTTATTTACACACATAGAGAATGAACCAAATGAACCAAAGGTTTTCCTGAATTAAGTAAGCACTAACTACAAAATGCACATAATTGTCTAATGCGGCATTTCATTACGGACACAATGGACTGAATTTGGTGTACGCGTATGTCCGAAATGTCTTGTCAACCTTAAAGAAACCATTACTACAATAATTTAAATGCCGATGTATTTTATTACATGTTTCTTAGAAAGTCATTATTCGCAGGATGACCCACTAGCTCCTTCTCTGTGTGTAAATTACTGACCAATTAGCATTCACCGAATTACTGTGTATTGACATAATAGATGCATATCTGTGTGTGCTACAGTACAAAATTTTTCGAAATCGCAGCCATCAAAGAGCACATTCATTTTCCATGCATGAGTGACGTAACCAACAAAGTGGGTATCAGCATGCACTATTCCTTACAAGGTTGAATCACCTGTAGCCAATTTTACATCATTACAATCCAATAATGCAATTGGATATAGTAAGTAATAAATTAACGTCACTGTAATTTTAACGAATCATGGTTGAATTTAACGTTGACCTGTTTTTTTTAAACATAGTAAAGTCATAAAGCATTCGCTTTCCCATGCATTAATTTTGCAACCAGCAAAGTCTGTACTGCAGTAACTACTCCTTATCGTTTTATGATAACGAAGCGAGTTTGCATTGCTAGCAGCCAGCTGCACATTACCACGATTCACAAAAATGATTGGGCAGACTAAGTCATAAAGTTACGTTGACTCAAGGATAGCGAATAATGGTTGCATTTGTATTTGACGTAACCTAAAGCACATGACTTGGATTAGAAAGAAATAATTGGTTACATGCAACTATATATTAGAGAAGGGATAACGCACTACATATGTGGTCAATTTTTGTATCAGACACAGCTCATTTTGTCAACTTGATTGCGTGGAAAGTAATGGAGACTCTCGTTGGCTTGATTACGTTGCTGACTAGTGCGATGGCACAACCCACATCGCCAACAGACCGTAACAGCATTCTCGAATTTCATACGGAAGCGCGTGAAACGGTTAATCCAACTGCAAGCGACATGATGATGATGGTGCGTGTAAACTTGAAGATATTCTTCTCAAAGCCATTTATAAAATAATGACTAACATTTAATTTCCTGGACACGAAATGTGCATATTACCTAAAGTTGGTGTAAGGTTAATAAAAACTAACGGTTTAACTGAGAACAAATTTAATTTTGTTAAATCTTCTTATTGGATGTCGGTAGATCAAGCCAAATTTGTGCCTTTTTACTTCACCCACACACAATTAGCCTTTGGAATATTATGCCAACAGTAAAAACCTAGCCTTAGCTTGGACATTAACCAGTGTAGATCACTGCTTTGCTCTAGACCTACTCACAACAGATGGAAGAGTTAGCAATAAAATGGGTCAGCCGCTGCAAATTCGAACATCCAAATCCCACAACAGATCCTGATTACAAGGGCATCGGGCAAAATCTGGCACTTGCTGGCACTTACACACCAAATATGACTCGAATGGCTCAAGGCTGGTACGATGAAATAAAGAACTACAAATACGCAGACAATTCTTGCAAAGGTGTCTGTGGACATTATACGCAGGTAGGTGATGCGGGGTCTGATTTTGCCTACTCATCATCGTTACAAATTTCTGTCTTCCCTTACATATGACAGGATTTGTGTTGTGAAATTGCTAAAGGTAATTGAATTTGCATGACAAAGATGTTTTTTAAGCCGTGCTTTTGACTTTAACGTGAAATTAAAAATCATTGTGAAAACGTTCAATTGTGTCCTTAATATAATCCTTGTTCTACCAATTCAGCGGCCACGTGTTCGTCTTCTAACTTATGTTCGAAACAAATAACTTAAATGTTTGATTTAAAGTGCTGCTCTAGGTAACGTTCTTACATTAGTTGACAATTTGACTTGAATGATTTAAAAGATCTATGAAATGTAGCCACTGTCTAAGTAAATTACTTGCTTTAATCGCATAACGTTTGGTAGTAATTTGAAGAATGTCAAAATGCGCAGTTTAGTCCATCATTCCTAAAACTTGTTTTTTATCGACTCAAAGATGGTGTGGGCAACCTCAGTGGGTCTTGGATGTGCGATGAAGCAATGTGACGATATTAAACCCGAATGGAAAATGCCTGTTTATCTTATGGCTTGTCAATATCAGCCTGCGTGAGTTGCATGTTTTTATAAGGCCAATATTCTTTCACATATCAAATTATTTGCGGGCAGCATGAAAGATGAGCATCAAATGGTAGGAGCTCATTACATCTGCATAACCATGTCATTTGAACGATTTGGTGGCCATAACGCAAATATCCAGTTGTTGCATAGTGGGTGTAATTCTACACCTAAGAATTATTGATTGTAAATAAAAGTGCCTGATACTGGATAAACCTATCGTGAAGATTCCATGTGTATTGTTAAAAAACCTTGATATGCGGAAATAAGAAAACTTGCAAAATTGGAAGAAAAGAAGGAGAATAATTCCAATGCCATTCACAGACTATGAAAATAAAGCCGGCTTAAAAATCTTACTTTGCTTTCACAATAAGGTCTAAAAATGCAATTTTATTTTACTTCTAAACTGTCGCATTGTCAGAAACCCTCAAAATTTTGAACAAGAAAGAAGCATCTGATCTACAAGCATGTTTAGGCGGCAAACATGTTTTGAGGTTAACGTCAGTCGTCAATTTGTCTGTTTTCTTAAAACCAGTGTTAAACTTTCCTTATAGCTTATTAATAGATAAAGATGTCAATGCCGCAAAGGATCCTTACTACTTTCTAAGCCTGGTATAAGTGGCCGTTTGTAATAAACCTACAAACACATTTTACTGCTTTGATTACGATGTTATCATGCCATAAAAGTCTTGCATCCATGCTAGATCAAAGTCAGAATTGGCAGCTATCCAGTCCATACTTAAGTAACATTTTCTTTATGGATACTTACGTCAGGATTTAATTGATGTGAGTCTACATCGTATTTTCATTTTTTTTTCCTATGCTTCAAAGTGGCAACATGATAGGGATGCGGCCCTACAAACAAGGCAATAGCTGTGATTTATGTCCCAAGGGATTGAAGTGCATTCGCAAGCAGTGCACGAACATAACAGATACTTCTACGACATCAACAACAACAACGACAACCTCGATTGCGACATTACCTTGTGCATCTGGACTTTTGGTTTTCGCAATTTTCCTTGTTCAGGGATATACATAGACTTGACATCTGTTTTTTTCTTAAACTTGTGCTTTGAGAACAATAATCCATTAATAGAGCGCGTGTTGATTTGAGTACTTTTACTAGTCATACGCTTGTTATGAGGTCCGAAAAATCAAACCTCGCGTAAATTGTTTGTCTCGCAAAAGAACTTTTCTGCCGTAATAATTCATTTCAGGGCCAATGACAAATTATTTTTGTTGGTTGGAACTCATCATATTGGTAATAGACTATATTGAAAGTTGAACGTAAATGTAAACACAGAACCTCTTAGAGCAAATCTAACTGCTCTTATTAACCCACGCACACTCGAATAGTTTATATTTTATAAATTAGACATGTTAAAATCATGGTATTTGGTCCTGGTAAATATCATTTAAATTTCGAGGAGTAAATGTCAAAAAAAATTAGTGACATTTGCAGTTTTATCTGCATGATATTTTTTATGATGTCAGCTTATCTACTCTAATTTGGCAAAGGGATTTAATATTTTCTTCGAAATGATAATTTTTCTTTGAATCTGTTGTGAGATTTGGAGAACCCTTCATCACGTCGAGGTCACCAATTGTCATGGGCCCCAGCATGTGGTCCTGAACCATGCCGGGGCCTATGAATCAACTCTGGCTCGATCAGGCTTTCCTGATACCTGCGATGAAATAAGAGACTGAAGAGGACGTGGACACAACCGTTTGCTACAGAGCTTAACTACGTTGGTGTTGCTGTGCCGTGTGTGGCGCTTTGGAATTAAAACGGTAGAGAAGGCATTCTGATTATCAAACCACGACGGAGCCACTGAGTTTGATCTGGCCCGATTACACTTCCTTGCTGCCCACAATGAAGGAACATACCAGGGAGGATGTGGACACAACATTTTACGCAAAAGCTCAACCACGTTGGTATCGTTGTGTCGTGTGTGGTGTTTGGGCGTGTGTATTTATGCCTCAGATGTGTGGGTCATACATGCGCTGACATCGAGACCTAGGTGTGAGGATAATCCAAGATACATGCTCGTGCTAATGAGGGGGTAGTTGCGGATCCGCACGGCCGGCGACATGCTACGAAAACGAGAATCCTTTGTCGAGGATGGAGAGATTGGATAAAGGAGTGTGCACAAAGATTATTTACAAAAAATAAATTAAGTAATGCAGTTATGTGTAAAAGACAGACTGCAGCATTTCGCAATTTTTTTAGACTTCTCATGGCTTTACTCCTTGTTAGGAAAACGGGCACTCGCAGAGAAATACTGAGTACTAAATTAACCCGGAGTTTTATTGCTTCAAATTCGCACGTCACTCATCGAAAGCGTCATCACGTTTTCGATATTGAATCTTTCGGAACTTAGTGAGACAGCAATAAATTGTCGAACATCGAGAGACCTTGATAAGTGTTGCAAAAACTCACACCACTCATCGTACTTCATTCAGTTGCGTCATTGAGTAGGTTGCGAGTTATGAGCAATATTTCGTGTGAACTTTCAGACTTGCATTTTATGCTCGCATCTTTCCCATATGCATCGACCAATTGTTAGTTAGGACTATACCGCTTATTAATGCTGACTACCGTTGTTGTTTTCGATTCCATCTCCAAAATCTGTGTTCATTTAGAACTGATAGGATATAACTAAAGGCTTTGGATCATCGATAAATAGCATGATTATTTCAAATAATGCAATTCAACCAAAAAGTGTCCATATCGAAACTGTGTTTAAAATTTGATGCAAAGTAAGTCCAATTTTGTCTGATTAAAGTGTTTTAACCGGTTTTTCTGCAACACTATTTCCAGATGCTCCAGTCTAATAATAAAATTTAGTATTTTCATTAAATCATTATTTTAAAATCAAATAGAAAACATCACAGAACACAGTACACTAAAGCGAAATTTTGCAAATCATTAGGAAACTAACAGTGTTAGAAGTATGTCTATAACCTGCAAATAAGTCTGATGTTTCGGCATTTTGTTTCGCAACAAAAACGTAACCACAATTTTTTCTACCGTTCTGGATTTCTTACATAATTTATTTGTTGTGGGCTCTAGCATGTGGTCTTGAATCACGCCGGGACCACTGAATTAACTCGAAACTGCTTACCTAAGATGAGTGAGTCATAGATGTGCTAATATCGAGACCTAGGTATGAGGATAATCTAAAATAAATGTTCTTGTTAATGAGGGGGCAGTTGAGAATCCACGAGGCTGGTGACATGCTGTGAAAATAGGGACCGGAAAAGCAAGCGTGAATCAACTCGGAATGCGTATAGCATAACATACTAGTCCTCAATCCTTTTGGACGCATTAACAACCTTCTAAAACCTATCAAAATTGCTCCAGCTTGTAAGAAAAACCTGATTTTTAACAAAACCATCATTATTTTAGCTCAGTTGTCGTCATAATTGCAACGGAAATTTGATTTGACATTACAAATGGCTCCATGAAGTTAATGAGTTTGATTTTTCTTATATATATTCCATTTCCAGCCAATCGTAAGAATATCTTTTAACGGCCATGTTTTTTAAATGTTTACACCTATACAGGGTGAGGTTGCCAAAGCAAGGCATAGCTACGTGTTTCGTTGCAATTGTATTTGTATATCGCTACTTGTCAGAGTATTCTCTAAGCATATTTCAAGGAGGACTCATTCAAGTGTTGAAGTTCAACCAGCCATGCAACCGCAAATTATTTTCAAGTCAATTTTTACCAAAAACACTGCTCCGTCTGCAATGAACTGGTTTGACTAGCAACCTCGGAAACGTTGAGTCTTACTAAACTTTTTTCTCCCTCTCTCTGAGGGCACTTTTCTGTCTTGCGCAGAAGGCCTCACCTGGACCACTGAGTTATGTTGGCTCCTCTTTTGTTACGCTGATACCTGGACAGTCCAGGAATATAGCTTAAACTAGTTGCGTTTCGCGACACTGGGCTTAGTTGTTCATTGCCATCAAATGGGCAGTGGTAATCAACATGGTCTGCGTGGACTTGTGAAGGCAAAATTGGATAAAATGCCACATTAATTATATGCGTAGAGGAGGGAATATATGAACAACGGATGTGTTAGCATGGTGGATGCGAACGCTGTTAAAAGTAGAACATTGGGCTTTGACACTTGCAATAGTTCCAGGTAGAGATAAATTGGGAGTTTAAAGACTTTTACGATAGACCTAACTTTAACATTTTCCCTGATTTGGCAACTTGACGCCTCAAGATTTAAAAATAAGGTTCTTAATGACTACATGAGCATTAATTACACTTATATAATTTTGGAACTATAAAAATACTACATAGAGAAAAATTATTTCGGATAAAAAGAACATTATCTTTCATTTATCGGGACTGGTGAATAGTTACCTTTCAGCAATTGACATGAACGCAAATGTAGAAGATAATTTCAGACCTAGCAAAAGTTTAAATTGAATTAAGAAACTTCTAGTTGGAGTGGACAAGTATAGTCCGAAACCATGGTCTAGGGTTGGAATGGTCATTCGACCTTTCACAAGAATCAGTGATCATCTCGCGCAAAATGTTCTGTTGGAACACTTTTGCTATCTTTTTTTCGTTGTATCAGGGATAATTGAAAACATCGATGGTGATGCGTACGACGCTTAGAGCCGTAAGCGATATTATGCCAGATCAGTAATTTTGAACATCAGATAGACTGTAGTGATCAATCGTAAATGTTTGTCGTGTATTAGTAGTGGCTAGACTTAGTCCATTTTCTCGGAAGTAGCGTTAAGCTACGGTTGTCTGCCTGGCAGCCTTAAACGGTTTTAGCCACCAAAGAGAGTGGACACAGTCGCTGCGTCGTGTTCTGTTTAACCAAATGTGTCAATGTCTGTGTATGAAAGTAAGGGTGATATTTAAAAGCCTGCAGTTGACCTAGTCGGATATCCAGCACTCATAAGACCAATGTGATCTAGACGGCTAAGGAATTCAGTTTGAGCTGTCATGGGGCATCCGTTGTTACCACT